GATTACATAAAACTAATTTTTCTATCCTTTAGAAACTACTTTTTTTTTTGGATAAAAATTACCCTATGTCCTTTTCTGTGTTCCTGACAATGTGTGTACAAAATTTCATGATGATCGGTTGAGTACTTAAGGCGTGAAATGGTAATAAACAAACTCACATTCGCATTTTTAATATTAGTTAGGATGTGATAAAAAAACTAAACGAAGTAACAACAACGACTTTTATTTTGTTTATATTAGATTATTATTATTATAATTTTCCTTTTACTTCGACAGAAAAATTTCTCAGTTGTTTTTAGTAATGACTTTTACATTATCGTCATTAAGTTTGTTGCTAGAAAGAGCCCATTTTTTATCAAACAAACTCGTCACTTTTACAACCGATTTTAAGTCATGCAATGTAACGTTGGATTCAGGATAAAAGTAGACAGATTTAGTTGGTGCAATTTGTAAAAACCCATTTTCAGAAAACCTTCCAAAAATGTCCCCTGTTTCTAGCCATACGAAAAGGGCGACTTTATCACTATTAACGGTAACTTCAAACACATTTTTCGCAAATAGTTTCACAGATGCAATCTGCAATTATCATTCAATAACTAAATACTCGTTTCATTTCCTGCCCAAACCAATAAGCTATAAAAATTGGTTGCTTTGATTTCTTCATATACAATAAACACTCGGTAGTGTGAATAAAAAAAGTTGACGTTAATTAATATGTAATAAACATTACAATTAACATACAACGTTAAAAGGCAGTAACCAATTCAGGAAACAAAACTGAACTATCATTTTTTACCAAAGAAATCAGAAATAACTTGGTTATTTTTGAGGATTTTCTATTTTTTTTTTTTTTCAAAATAGCTTATAACAGTTAGGGCAGTGATGTCGTCGTATGATTTTGATCGTCCAGCTGTAATGAAACCGTGTACTAGGACTGAGTGGATTATCCGATTAATTGATTATTTCCAGTAATACGAATGGGGAAGTACCTAATTTATCAGGAATTTACATAAAAGACGTAACAGCAACGGCGAAATAGCATTTGTTTCTATAAGCGAAGGTTTGTTTTGTTCACGGTATAGGGTACTCTAGCACAGTTACGTAATAGGCTGTTTACGTGTTCATTTTATGGGAGGTTTCCGTTAAACGATGTTCACATTACCGAATGTTTACTGCAGTTTGTTTATAAGTAAACAAATCATTTGAAGACTTGTACTAACTGTGAAAGTAAAAGCATAAAAATTTTTAAGAGATTATTCACACTTACTGTTAATTTTGGGTTACCAGCTTTTACTTTACGTAAAGGAGTTGGGAACACAAAGTTTTTGGGTGAAATGGCTCCATTGTCGTCTTCAACTCCAAGGTAAAAGAAGCAATTTAGCAAAGAAAATGTTTCATTTCCACATCCTTTCTGAGACAGGAATTCCGGAATCGAAAGTGATTTGACAAGTTCGGATTTGCCACTTTCCTGCAAAAAGAAAAATTAAATAATAACAGGAAAAACATTGATTTATTAATTAATTAATATGTATTAAGGATAAAAACATATTAAAATCATTTAATTTCTTTTCTTATTTTGAATACCAACTGTATGGATAATAATGGGATATTTTAATGAGGCGTTATTAATTAGAATATTTTTGGTAAAGGTCTAGATGATGGCCCCCACCCCCTTCGCGGGTGGAGGTGGGGGGTCGAAAGAGGAGGTCTCCCCCACCACTTCACCGTAAAAAGTTCGTCTCACCCCCTTAAAAAGTTATAGGGGTTCAAAGTTAATAAATATGCCAATTTTTATACATTTCTAGGCATGTAAATATTTATATAGTCATTCTTAAACAATATTCAAAGGTAAAACTAATGAAAAAAACNAAGTTTATCATTATAAGTTCCATTAAAAATAATATATGAATAATTTACTTTTTTTTCTTTACTGACTACGAGGAAACGGCGTAAGCATATAAATTACACTTGGTTCTTTTTAATTTTTGTAATTACCATATTCCTACTGATGGAAATGCCGGACCCCAATCCCATGCAAATGACGCCTGCATTTTTCGTATATGGTTAACGTGACATTCACCCCTGTATTGTGCGTCTACGCATGCCGGAGGCACCTGATAGATAGCTTCTTGCTCCTTGTAAAATTCTTCAGCTTTTTTTACAGCGGAGTATAGGACAACAGTAACATTGTTTGAACCTTCCTAACATAAAAATATAAAACTTACCCCCTTTTTTGTACCAAAATGTAGTAAATAGTAAAAAAGCGCCCTCAAGCTCGGGACAAAACCCCCCACCGTCCCCCCTCAATATACACTTATGACTTTGAACACTTATTGCATTGAAAATAAAATATTTTTAGAAACGTCTCATTTCTTAAAAACTTTTTCTGGTGCAGAATCTCAAAAAAAAGATATTTCTTCTAGTATCCTTCTAGAATCTAGTTCTTACCTTTACATATTCCTTCACATCAAAAATGTACTGAACGAACATATTGTCGGTTTCGCCAATTTTAATATCATTAAAATAAACTGTTGCAAATGTGTCAACTCCATCAAAAACAATATTAACATTTTCTTGATACAGAAGTTCCACATCAACTTAAATCAAAATTGTCATACTGTAATCATACGATTTTTGTTGTCTGATGATATCAGGAAGTCCTGTATATTGTTAAAATTGACTACATTTTTATTTATTATGAAGTGTGACAGAAACGTTGGGCCTAGTTGTGAGCAAATCGGAAACGGTGTAAATTTCAAGTGAACCAGCCATTTGAATCCCCGTTACGATGACAGGAGCAAAAAAGTCCTTGGCAAAATAATGCAACATTTTCCAACGATTTTTAAAGTCTAAATATACGGAAAAAAGTACATTTAACGGATAACGCAAAAGATGCATTTTTTTTTTTAATATTACGTACCAATAGAGGACCACGTCGGAGCCACCCAAACATCATTTAGTTGCCAGTATAAAGCGCCCATTGTTAAACCTTCCCCATTATCAAACGTAACACTTTTCATCCTTCTATAATTTTCAGTTTCTATTTTTACCGCCATTGCTTGTAAAATCTAATGTTAAATATATGGCAATAAGAATTAAAGCAAGAAATATGGATACGAAATTAAAATTAAAAATAAAAGGCCGATCCGGTGTAATCTGAATATTGGCGAAAAGTCGGATAAATGACTCCATCAGTGTTTTCGCCAAAAAAAGCAATCTTACGATTAAAAATATCAAGTATTATTCAAAAAATAAAAATTAGAAGTTACAGCTCTATTTACACATCCATTTAGCCGACAAATACATAAAACTAATTATGTATTCGTTTAAGAAATGCTTTTGATTACGTAACGTATTTAAGGATGTTTGGGAGGTATGTCAAAATGCTACGAGACAAATAAAAATTTGAAAGAACGTTCCTCATTCAATTCTAAAACTCCAGTAAAAATTACAAATCGATTCACTAAACCGTTAAAAAGTTATTGAAATTTTAAAAAATTGTAATTTTACACGTCATTTTATGGAGATTCGTTGACCGATCGGATTAAATTTATTTTTATTAACAGCTACCAGAAATTTAAAACTTTTATAATAAGTAACATGAACTCTGGAGAATCACTTTAGCGTAAGGTTATTCAAATTCACTAAATGGTTATCGAGGAAAAAATGAAAAATTAGCTGAAAATCTCGTTTTTACTTGATAATATAATGATAATATTTATAATTGTCTGAAATAAATGCAATTTTAAAGTTTTAATTATTATTTAAACATATTAAAAAGTTTTACGCTCATTATTAATAGAGATTGAAACTAAATATTTTTTTGTTTCGAAGTTGAAATCAAGGCATATTCACTGCCAAAAGTCAGTTAAAAATTTTCCATATTATTCGTTATTTCTTATTTTATTCAAAGTTTTTGGTCAAATTCCAAATTTTCTCTCAAACAGTATACTTTTTTTTAGTAGGTATATATAGTATTTATTTACCTCATGATATACTGCAAAACCTAATTAATCACGAATTTCTAATTTTATGTACTCTAGTCTCCGATTGTACCTCCCAAACATCCTTAAATGCCTCTACGAACTCGGGCGCTCCGGGCATTCAGGAAACAACGGCGACCGCCGAGACACACTAATTCTGATCCCGCGCTCATCAACTCAACCACGCAATTAATTTCACACTATCGAATTTTCGTTAACTATGCGCGCTTAAATTTTACTGTCAACGCACCAAAAGAAGTGTAACTTCAAAAAAATAATCAACATTAAACGAATAAAATAAACACAAGTAAAAAAAAATAAAAACGGAGAGCACCTGACTGTAATACATCATTGCCTCTAAATTCCTACCAGGACTACTCAATCGATCATTAATAAGCATCAATATTTCCATGTATCCATCTGGATGATGCTGTCTACTATCCATGAAATCGGATGTTAAATTTAAACTTTCAACATCTTTTACCGCGGTCAACCAAGTCTTCAAAGAGGGCAAAGATTGATAACCGTATTCCGAAGCGAATCGCGGTTTTGGATAGATGGTGACATCCCAACTATCCAAAACGTAATTGTAATAATGAACTAAAAATCAGTTTGGGTTATTTTTTAATATGTACTTGCCAAATTTATTTTTTATGTTCATTTAAATACCATCTCCGTAATGAGTACTGGAAGGATTTCTTGCCACATAATCTTCCTTATCAGATTCAATACCATTGGTGGGACTTGATGTCAAAAATGGTCTAGTTTTATCATTTGCCAAACATTCTTTCTTTATTAGATCGACGTACAGTGTTACGTAATCTTTAAAATACCGATCCTCATTGTTCGTACCATACCTTTAATTATTTTTTTTATTAATCGTCGAAACTATTTAACAAAATTATGTCTTTTTAACACAAAATGAAATAGATTATCAAAGATGTACATGTACATATGTTAGGAGAACGGTGGAAAACGTAAACGGTGCTCGCGGCGGAAAATGTTGGAACCGTTGTTGCGGAAAACCAAAGGTTCCGGGTTCTATTCCCGGCGAGGGTGTGACAACAGCAACAAATTTTTCCCCATTAACTTGAGGCAATTTATAGTGGATAAAAATTAAATGAATAGTAAAAAGATGTTGTTTTTAAACTCATTTCATTAATCTCGAAATGGTATTTGAAGTTTTTAATAAAATTAACCCGTACTAAAAAAAGGATTTATTCGCTTTCACAAATTATTCATTCATTTTAGATTATACGAGGGGTTGAATGAAAAAGTTACCCAGATGATTCATTCCGGGACTACTTTTGTTTCAAATTGGGAAAAAGTGATGCAGAAACATTCGACTGATTAAAAACCGTGTATAGTAATGATATTGTTAAAAGCCAAAGCGAAGTTTTCGAGTGGTATGCACGACCCATCAAAGATAGAGTGACAAAACCAAAAATAAAAATATTCGTCATAACATAATTTTTGGCTCAAAAGTGACCGCCACTATTCACCACCCGCCGTACTTGCCAGATTTGCCCCCAACAGATATTTCTCTTTCGCTTAATTAAACATTGCGAAGGAAGAAATTTTTAAACATGTTGAAGCGATTTATTAGATCTCCAATTCGTTCCAGCGACTACCAATACTACAATATTTGTACAAAAGGGGAATAAAATTATTTTTAACTCTTTGTTTCTTTAGTAAAAACAATCATTCCCATTATTATTTGAATGGACTGTATACATTACCATTAATAGAATCAGTTGCTATTATTTTTTGGTTTAAAATCGATGTCGTAACTTTTCTTTTAAATCTTACGTTAAAAATTGCGACTTACCAATTGGTTCTAAGGGCAAGTTCGTTTTCGTTATTGCCTGCCCATAAGCCTATACTTGCATGGTGCTGTAACCTTCTAACCTGATGGCGAACTTCTTTTCGAACAGTTCTATCGGCGAAAATAATAATCTAATTAAAACGTTGCCCCCCATTAACGAAAACAGTAACACACAAAACAATTATACATTATAGATTTTTTTTTCGTGGACTTATTTGGTTTCATTTTAAACCATAACAATTTTCCGTATAAATTATGTTAAGGTTTATCCAGATAAAAATGCTTATGTAGATGCAGGAACCAAACAAGAACTTTATTTTAATGTAATAGAAAATACAGTAAAAAGAGAAACGTATAAATGTGAAAAGGACCCCTTACGATGTGTACAACTCTAGGCTCGGTTCTCTTCTAAACCAGGTAGTCGATTTTACCTGCACCGTGCACAAATGCATAAAAGCGTTACCCCTTAAGAGTTTCTAACTCCGCCTATTTAATACAATTTAGGTGTACATATGAATATTATGAATCACTTGAAAACTAAATAAGGATCAGAGAACTCACTTAAAATAGCATAATTTCTTAACAAATTATAAGATTAATCAATAATTAGATTCAGAGAGAAATCGCTTAATTCTGAATGCGATTTTATTTAATTTTTTTATGTGAAAAGAACATTTACCAAAATCTTTTTTGTACCTAAGGTACGGATATCTCTAAAACTTCGTCAATATTAATCTACTCAAAGAAATTTTAATAAGTATATAAGTTCGTTTAGGTACTTCGAGATTTGAAAAATTGAAAATCAAAAATAATCGAACAAAACCTACCTTAATTAAATCCCGACCTAACTCCAATTATTATAGGTGCAGACTGCTTTAAATAAAAGACACGACTATGGCGACAACACTCACTTCGTTCGAGTTGTTATTACCTACCGTAATCTTATATGATCTTAACCTAACCAAGCTTTTATTTGATTGCAGATGATAATTAAGGTTACAGTAGGCAAAGACAACACGAACGAAGTATCCTTTATTTTGTTTACTTATAAAACAAAAACTAATTGCCTTAAGGCAAGGTAGGAATTGGGTTAGTTTAGGTTTGGTTCGATTGGTTCCCATATGGAATTTTTCGATGCTCGAAGGAGGCCAGTGGTGTTGTGCTAATTTTTTTTTACCGGAACGCGTATATATAATTATATAGACAGGGCCGATCCTGGGTAGGCGGCCGCTCTGTGCGGTCTCATGTCCCAAATTTGACGACGACGGAGGGGGATTTCCCCCAATTTTCGCCCGTCGCCAGGATCGGCCTTGTATATAGCATAAAAAGGAAAGGAAACGAAAATCATTACGAAACACATTTTGTGTATATGTATATGAGTTCCGGTTCAGCAGAAAAAAAACGTTCCGGACTCCGGTTCACGGTTCGGAAAAACAAGCCGGTTCGTTCCGGTTTTTGTTCCGGTTCGGGTTCGGTTCAAACCCTTGTTTATAATAATACATATAAAAATTCGTCAAAAATTAGAAAAAAAATTCAGCAATTCTTTTTAATTTTTTTTCAATACGTCAGCCAATTCTCGTTATCAGAAATCATCTTTAGTTCCGGAACGCGTTCCTGTCCAAAAAGGAAGTACCGGAACGACGTTCCGGAGCGTTCCGGCTCGACAAAACCACTGAAGGAGGCACAAGAAAATATAAATAAAAACGTTATCAATATGAAGTCATTGGCAGTATATCACCATCTATTGTTTGTGTTGATATTATTGTAGGCACTGTCAATAACTTGATATTAATCAATTTGGTTATATGGAGTAACTAAGGTTTGGTTGCTCATTTATCGAAATTACCAACCGTGTGCTGATGAGAGCTAGTACGATCTAAATTGCGTCCACGCCTAATAATTTCGATAAACTGCTAACCAGCAACAATCTTCTCTATTAACTACATATTTTCGTCCTAACTTACGTCAAAAATTTGTCGTTTGTGGGGTACATTGAACAAGCGAACATAAAGTCTTGCCATATTATAATCCCCAACTCATCGGCTACGTCATACAGGGTGTCCGATTCATAAACGCCACCTCCCCAAACCCGTATCATATTCATGTGGACGTCTTTCGCAGAATTCAACAAGTACCTAATTTGGGCTTCGTTCTGGCCCAACTCGGGTAATATATTTACAGGAATGAGATTTGTACCTTTCATGAAAATTGGAATATCGTTAACTTTGAAATAAAACGTTGTTCCGTTATCTAAAAGGAGATTTTATAGTTTTTAAGTCATTTTTGTATCCAAAATACAAATAACGTCGAAGACACTGAGGCAAACAAATTAAATTAATTAAACAAGAAACAGTGACTTCTTTGGATTTCCATCATATACGAGACATAAAAATACCTCGTATTTCATCCTGTTTTAAAGTCAAAAATAGGAAAATTGTTTACCGACTTGTAAAGAATCTTGTACAAGTTCAATTGTCCTAAACCCAATTCTGATAATTTTTTCCGCCGTTTCTTTACCATCACTACCAACAAAAGTCACATTAAGAGTATATAAACTTTGATTACCAAACCCATTAGGCCACCAATTATTTACATTTATCTAAAAGATGAAACAGTAAAATACAAATGATCCAAACAAGAATCCGTCAAAATTATACTTTTGGTATTGAAATTTGTCCTGTATAAAACAGGTCGCCACCGTTCGGAAAGTTTAATGATACAGGATAAATTATTTCGTAAACGTCTTGCTCAGTTTTTAGAGAATAAATTAGATTTCCATCGACATTACCCTGGACATTGCCAGATATGTAAGTGGTTACTTCAAGAATCCAGTAATCACCACTCGACAAAGTACTTGTAGTTACATATCTTATGTTGGTAGAATTAAAAGCTTCTAAATAAACTGGTTTCCTGAGATTAAAAAAAAAAAAATTGGGTCATTTTTTTCATTAGTTGACAGATGAGTTGAGACATGAAGTTAAGTCAGGTAAGTAGTAGTCACCAAGTAGAATCGTGTGGTAAGTAGTATTAATTCCATGCGGGGAACCAATGTGGCTTGAGATACAGGCTCCTAAAGTTTTCTTAATCGGAGGAAATTCCGATTGGTACGGCCCTGGCTGCAGCCCTTCGTCAACTGTTCTCGCCAAATATGCATTGATGACGTCATTGTTTAGTTAGGTAGATTTATGACAGACTCGAGTTTCTTTAATGTCCCTGCCTGATATGTTGGAATAATGTCACAACGATATCTTTTAGGACAAGCGGGAACAGCTGACGAAAGGCTAAAGCCAGGGCTGTACCTACTGGAATTTTTTTCCGATTACAAAAACTTTAAGAGCCTGTATCTCAGTTACATTGATTTCTAAACAACAAAATACAACGTGTAATTATACAGCACGCTACTGAAGTGAAACTTCTTCAAACATACGGGGATAGGGGTTAAGGAATTGATTTGTACAATATGAATTTGAATTTTACACTATGCATGCCGGAGTTGCCTGTAACGAACGTTGCATTGAAGCGCGCTCACGGCTCAAGCGATCCCCACTACGAACTCGACTGCGTGGCCGAGTAGAGGGGGTACATCCGTTGGATGATTTCGTTACATAGCAACTCGCATGAAACGAACTTACCCTACCGTGCGTAAAGAAGTTTCACTTCAATAATAAACAAAATTCTAATAAAAACTACCACACCACTTTACTTAGTGAGTACCACCTACCTGACTAAACTTCATGTCTCAACTCGAATGTCNACGTTAAGTTAATTCACTTGTTATTATTTTTGGCTAAATATGCTTTTAAATAAAGCATATTCTTAAATTTTAACGAGGCATTTTAAATAATTTTGCAAATGGTACTGTACACTTTTGTCTAGCTCTCGCTCGATGATCGGTGTAGAAATGAGCTCCGCAGACAAATATGATTGAATTTGGAATTATGCTACGGCGCATCCTAATAAAGGGAAGGGGCATATCTCCAACTTCTTGTATGTATTATTTGTATAGTGAATATAGTAAAATGTGCTAAATTTTTATTTATTAATTGCGTTTTATAATATGTAGTTGTACCTAATCTTTGCCGTAATAATACATCTATAAATGAAACTAGGCCACACGACAGTCATCAAATAGGCGGAAAATGATTAGAAGAAAACTTGGAATTATGCATATCAGTATGTGTTATTCTTTTATCTCAAAAATGACCTCAAGCAAAAGCAGATAAAAGTTCAGGTGATTGACAAGTATCTACCTACGTATCTTCGGCTACAATTTACTTATCATATTTTTTATACATAATATCTCATTCTGAAGAATTATTTGTCAAATTTAACTGTAGATATCACGAAATTTTTTTCAAAATTTTGAGAAACTGTTCTTGATATGCTGTCATTTTAAGAATAAAAAAAAACATTTGCTGTGAATTCAATAACAGGCTAGAATTTTTTCTTTACCATCACTACCAACAAAAGTCACATTAAGAGTATATAAACTTTGATTACCAAACCCATTAGGCCACCAATTATTTACATTTATCTAAAAGATGAAACAGTAAAATACAAATGATCCAAACAAGAATCCGTCAAAATTATACTTTTGGTATTGAAATTTGTCCTGTATAAAACAGGTCGCCACCGTTCGGAAAGTTTAATGATACAGGATAAATTATTTCGTAAACGTCTTGCTCAGTTTTTAGAGAATAAATTAGATTTCCATCGACATTACCCTGGACATTGCCAGATATGTAAGTAGTTACTTCAAGAATCCAGTAATCACCACTCGACAAAGTACTTGTAGTTACATATCTTATGTTGGTAGAATTAAAAGCTTCTAAATAAACTGGTTTCCTGAGATTAAAAAAAAAAAAATTGGGTCATTTTTTTCATTAGTTGACAGATGAGTTGAGACATGAAGTTAAGTCAGGTAAGTAGTAGTCACCAAGTAGAATCGTGTGGTAAGTAGTATTAATTCCATGCGGAAACCAATGTGGCTTGAGATACAGGCTCCTAAAGTTTTCTTAATCGGAGGAAATTCCGGTTGGTACGGCCCTGGCTGCAGCCCTTCGTCAACTGTTCTCGCCAAATATGCATTGATGACGTCATTGTTTAGTTAGGTAGATTTATGACAGACTCGAGTTTCTTTAATGTCCCTGCCTGATATGTTGGAATAATGTCACAACGATATCTTTTAGGACAAGCGGGAACAGCTGACGAAAGGCTAAAGCCAGGGCTGTACCTACTGGAATTTTTTTCCGATTACAAAAACTTTAAGAGCCTGTATCTCAGTTACATTGATTTCTAAACAACAAAATACAACGTGTAATTATACAGCACGCTACTGAAGTGAAACTTCTTCAAACATACGGGGATAGGGGTTAAGGAATTGATTTGTACAATATGAATTTGAATTTTACACTATGCATGCCGGAGTTGCCTGTAACGAACGTTGCATTGAAGCGCGCTCACGGCTCAAGCGATCCCCACTACGAACTCGACTACGTGGCCGANGTAGTATTTTCAATAAATATTATAGCATTTTTGATATACATATAGTAATAAAATTCTATGATAATGATATCATATAAGTACAAGTACATAATGATTTGAAAATCCTCCCTAAACTATGTTTCTAGCTGTTTAAAGATTTCATATGCACATGCAATGTTTTCGGAGCATTATTTTTTTTAATAATTGTTAATCAAAATATTTCACACACTTAACGGTAAGTAATTTTGTTTAACTGCATTTCAAATAGAATTGAACATTCAAATCCTTTGTATGAAATTTTTAACTCTGCGTTGAAACATTTAAAATTTTTCCTATTAAGATTAAAAGTTACTTATGTATCATTAAGAAATTACTGACTTACTTTAGATTGCATTTAGATATTTCATCTTTTTATCATTTTAATTGTGTACCTGTAAATATTTTGGTATAAACCCAATTTCGAAGAGAAACCCATCTGCTTTGTTGATCATTTTCATCAAAAAATACATCATCCAATATTTTGTTGTTCATCAAATCGGTGTAAATTCCACCGGGCACGGTGGCTTCCAAGCTAAAAGCTGATGATGGGCCATTTAAAACGATGCAATAATAAGGGAAGAAAAACTTACGTTTTTCCGCGTCTTTTAATTTCCAATTGCCATCCAAATTTTGTATCAGAACAGTACTAACTAAACCACTCAAAAAACACAAACAAGAAACTATCAGTAAAACTGCCATTCGATCCATTCTACTCTTGACTATTCGTACTGATACACTGCTTTTGATGAACAAGAATAACAACAACAACAACGAGCAGGCAAAAGTCACTCACAATCAAATAAAACGTTTATCTCTGTTTGAGAAGCATAAAGAACCTCTAATCTTAACATCGTTTTCCCTGAAAATTTTGAAATGATTTTTCTTATCGCGATTTCAACAAGACAAAAGAAAATGTTGATATATTAAAATCATAACTATTAACTACTTTATAATTGCGTTTTAAGGTCGAATGTTTTGCTTTACGTTAATTTTATACTGCATATCAATTTACTGGCGTGCAGGGCTACTAATTAATTAATAATAAAATTAAATTATTCAAAATTTCCAATTACTGGAAGGGGCAGCAAACAGTATTATGAAAATAAAAATGTGTATATTGATAATGCTAGTGCAATAGGATAAGGAATCAATTCATCCCTGTACCTAGATCATGTTAAAAAATAAAAATCAACAATAACAAAATAAATTCAGGAATTCGAGTTAAAAGTTAGAAATAAATGTAAAACAATAATATGTACATGTACAATATAAAAATGTCCGAGAGAAACCTAAAACATATGAATCATGATCATTTTTATCATCAAAATTCGAAGCAATAAAAGAATTAAGAGTATTAAAAGTATTAAGTTGCTATTATCTGTTTCCCAAAAAAAAAAAATTATTTAATNCAATAATAATTTTATCGGACTACCCTTCTATTGTTCAAATATAAGACAAACTAAAACTAATAAAGTTTTTCTAGATGATTGCATCAAAAAGCTAGACGCACACGAATTTCCAAACATTGAATTTGTTAAGGTAGGGGGAAACCATTTTAAAATTAAATAAATAAACATTTCATAACTGATATGTGTTTTCTTTCTGAAATTATTTTATCTTTAATTTACTGAAGTACTGAAGTGCACTATAAATATATATTTATTTTCGATAAATAAAATCGGTAAGTAGTCGTTAACTTATTTATCGGAGTTGATATAAACGGGAGGTAACTCGGCTAGTACCCGGGAGGGAATTCGACTATCTACATTTAAACCAAAACTACCTGCGGGAGGGAATTCGGCATCACCGGAACAGTCACTGGTGTGATAAGGCATGCGATAAATAATTAGTCAAGACAACTCTAATTTTTAAATGAAATGCAAATACTGTAAATATGTAAATAAAAGTAAAGGACTTGCTCAATTCGCTTCATTTTCATTTGAGGCTGATTAACATTGTAAATTTTTCTGTATGTAAATATGTTTAATGGACTTTCATTCTGCATTAAAAAATTCTAAGCGAGAATACCTGCCATTAATTACAATTCGTAGGGGTAACGTAGACTCTCTTTTTGTTTTGGCTCAGAAAATTTTGGTGGTGGTGGCTCGGGTGAGAAAGATGAGACGGACGAAATGAAGACAGAAGAGAATGAAAGATTATAGGTGGAATATTACTGCCTCAGCATTCGCCCGAAGTATCCAAGGAAACCACAGAAAAACTTGGACCAAGGCAGACGGACCCGGAATCGAACCGGCGTCCTCCCGAATGCTAAGCAATGGTCTAAACCTCTAATCTTTGCATTTGCCTAAAACTAAAACAGCCCACATCCTTAACTATTTGCGAACAGTAATCGAATCTAGGTCTACCTCTACTCCTCTTAAATATTGTTTCTGCCTCTAATATATCTCTGACTAGACCTTCATGCCTGAGAAGATGTCCTACCAACCTATCTCGCCTATTTCTTATTAACTTCCATAGAGTCCTCTGTTCTCCTTTTCTTTCTAATACCTCTCCAATTCTAACCTTCCCTATTCACGATATCCTCATCATTCGCCTGTAATACCACATTTCGAACGCTTCTAACCTATTCTTTTCCGCCGCGCGTATCGTGCATGTTTCGCACCCTTACAGCGTCGCGCTGCAAACATACACCTTTAACAATTTTTTTCAAATTTCCAAATTAATCGTTCGCGAGCATAAAAATGACTTCTTTTTATTGAAGGCGACATTAGCCTGCGCTATCCTCTGCTTTATATCCCTACTACTCCTTTTGTCTTAACTTATCTGACTTCCTAAATGCCTAAAATCAGCCACTTTGTCTAATCTTTCGTCTTTTATTTTTATATTCGCTCTTTCCCTATTTTTTCTTCCCTTGCATACCAGTATTTTTGTTTTACTTTTATTTATTTTCATATAATACTGTTTTATCAATACCGCTACCATTGTATTTAAAGCTATCTTTAACTCTTCCTTGCTAGATACTAATACTACTATATCATCTGCAAATCTAAGCGTACTAATCTTTTGCCCCTCTATATCTCTATATATTTACGATAAATATAAAATTTTAACGTAATCTTAAGTAAAAACAAATTAAAAATTGAAATTTTTACCCAATTCAAGAGACAACCTTTATGTTTTTAGTACCTAATAAAATCAGCTGTATACAGGGTGTCCTGCAACTCGTGGATAAGCTTTCAACTGATTGCAAGTATTGTATATGATCAACAACTGATCAAGTTCCGGATCTAGAAATTTTGCAGAAACGTTACTTATACAACGTTAACGAACTTTAAGAAAGGATCTTTTAAAATTCAACCCCCAAAGAAGTGAAAATGGGATTCCAAGTTTGATCTATCAATAAATGAATAGTCCAAACCGCTAAGTCAGAAAGCTTGCAATTTTCTTTTACAAAAAACACTACAAATATCACAGCTTTTATTAAATGAGCTTAATGATATCGTTTCGCCACGCTGTGGCTTCTTCAGAAGCTGCAATAAACATACGATAAAAGTTTTGTGATTAGATAATTTAAAGACTGTATATTGAATTGTTGTAGTGTATTTATTTTTACAGCATTTTATCTAGCGAAACTAGACATTAATAAATTTACAAAGAAAAAAAAATACGCATTTTAAAACTATCAAATGGTTAGAAAACCGTGAGACTTTAACTTTAACGAAAAGTTCAGTTTTGTTGATGACCTTGGGGTCCCCTAAACGCAAATTTTATGTTCTAGGAATCGAAAGGTAATATTAGATATTGCATTGTTTGGTAATAATAGTACAGTAGTAACAAGTACATGCGTATAAACTTTATATCAAATTACAAGATTAACGGTTAAGATATCATGACTGATTACAGGCGCAATCTTATCGCAGGTGGTCAATAACACAACTTTATAAAGTTGTGCATTATTATATCCAGGTAAGCAAAGCATACAACAAGTCATTAAGCAACAATCTTCGTTCGGAACGCTTTCCATTTCAACTTTCACTATGAACAACTCAAGTACAGAAGAATTGAATCGAAAATCCCCCATTGGTGGCTCATCGGTAAGTATCATATCAGTAAAATGATATTTTTTTTTGAAAATATGTGTATCATCATTCTTTGTTTAGAAATTATTATTAGTACAGTCTTTACTCAAGTAAAAACAGTTTTGATTTTAAATAAATCATATATAAGTTAGGAGTAAATAATAAGTAAATAATAATAAATAAATAAGGTAAAATACTAATAAAGTAAGTCATTAGCAATGTAGATAATTTTAAATGGGTTTTTTGTACTTATTAAATTGCGCTTAACTGTTGTTATAATGTTATGCGCAGGTATTTATTAGTAGGCATGTGTAGTAGCATTACAAAAGTTTTGTAATTTATTTGTCAGGTATTCTGAAAATTTTGCCATGAACTTTCAACTTAATAGACCTAATTTTCATTTCTTTTATTAAATTCTTCAAAAATACACACGCATAAACTAATAACCTCTATCAACTATAATATAATTTTGTTTAAATTACTAAAAAATGTCAACAGTGTGGGTATGTTCTAAAAATTGTTTTATCAATATTTAGAAAGGATCTACAGGGTGGATATTCATAAACTCTTAGGTCCCAAGTCCTAACTCGTTCTCGTCAATATTTTTTTTGACGCAAACGTTTTCTCAATATCGTTTTTTTTTATACGTTACTTACTTGAGCAAAATTGCTAGATACTTTTTTATAAATAAAAATACATATTATATACATACATCTGTAATATTTTTATATACGATATTTTTCAGATAAGTGACAGTGGAAGTACCAGAAGCTCGAAGCCAAAAAGGCAACAAATTCTCATTTCTTGGGATCAATCAAAATCCTACTCGTTTCTTGCACTATCATTATGTTTTGTTGTATGGGCTTGTATTTTTTTCCCTTTGTTAATGAAAAAGTCTTAAATTACATTAATTAATATCTGGATATGGGTACATCATAACTGCTCTATTTCTACATTAAAAAAAAGCTTTAATAACAGCTAAATTAATTATAACTAAAAATGATTTTTCATTTTTTTTTTCTTAATGTGGTTTTGAATTTTTATTAAGATTTCGTAATATCGTAATTATAATTATATTATTGCGTCTAACCCCGCGAGATAACAACCTAAAATCATAGATGGAGCAACAATACTTTCATTTTTATTTTAAAAATCCCCTAATCTAACTCGTAAGTGAATAATCATCTAGTACATAGTGCAGTGAATATTATTAATAATATTAAATTTTATAAACTTTGTAACGAAGTATATTTTGTTTCAAATATATTTTTTGTATGTTTTTTAGTTTTATTGAGCGACTTTTTTATGTTGATCTAATTTATATTACTATAAACTATTACGTAAACATTCAATGAAATTTATTTATATCAAGGAAAAGATTAGAATCTAAGAATACTACAAAAACAAATTAATGATTCAGGTTATACAGTTCACGTTTCAAGTCGAGCTGTGGTAGAAACAACCAGATGGTCAATGTCGCCAAGCAAGATTGTTAATTGCATATTCCACTGTTAAGAAATTAATAGCTGCTTACTGGGTGTATTATGACGGCATTTGTCAAATTTTAGCAAATGCAAATAATATGTGTGCCACATGACCTACGTTTAGTGATAATCAGTGATAATTTTATTGAATAAATTGTATCCGAAATTCGAGTACGTTTGGTTGGCGTTTGAGATTAACTACATTTCTCTGAAAAGCAGTATATAATACCACTGATTTAATAAGATAATGGGAACAGTTACTTATGTTGTACCTCTTGTTCTAGCGATAGTATTAATCTTCGTCGACGTACTATGTAAGTTCTTATATTCCTATCACATTATTTTTGTTTCACTTTTATAACACTACATCATCTACATGCTGGATAATGGCTTCTTTTCTTACAATTCTTACCCCTCAATTGAAATCTAACTTGCTCTTACTTAAGTATATACACGCTAAAATCCAAGAATACATGCATGTAGAAAGGGTATCGGTACTTGGCTTAAGGAGAAACTAATGGCGTAATTATAATAAACTCATTAAATATTCACTGTAGAATATTGTTTCACTAACTTACAAATACGACTTCAAAAGTCAAATATTTAATCCAAAATGTAATTTTATACTACATGAATTAGATTTGGGAGTTTTTTTTCTAAAACTGTTATTAATGTTCAACTTTACTAAATAATATACTTCCAAAATAAACATCCAAATTCAAGGTTGATAAAAATCGTATTTTTTTTTTAAAAATCAAAATCGATTATTTTTTC